GAAATATGAATATGAATTAATCAATACTCAAGGAAGAATATTAAAATATATGAATCCTACTATGATTAATATCAAGATGTTAACTAATTGTCATCTTAGCAACACTCCCCAATATAATCATAGAGGAAGAAATAGCTATTACTATGATCAATGTCAAGATGTTAACTAATTGTCATCTTAGTAACACTCCCCAACTTTGATATAGAGATAGTATTTTGAAAGAAAGAATTAATATTCAAGGAAGAAGATTAAAGAAAATAACTCACAACTTAAAAATTCATTAAGCTTCAAAGTAGCAAAACCAAGATGGAAGAGTTTAGCTCCTCATTTGGAGACTAAACATGATGAAAAATATAAAGAAAGAACTATTCTATACTGAGCTTAGATGTACAAAGGGATTGGATATCTTTTTGTGAAGGAAAGGAGGTGTATTTATAGGCTTTTGGGAGCTGCAGGGGCTGATACCCGACCGGGTATATAGGATACCCGATCGGGTATCTTAGGAAATTTCCCGGAAAACCACATTTCTGGACATACCCGGTCGGGTATGTCGGTTTACCCGATCGGGTATGTGACAAATCTTTACGAAAATTTGCTCCCACGATCCTTTGTTCCCGGATTTGATTTGGACAACCGAATCAAGCAAATACCCGATCGGGTATTGCCTATACCCGACCGGGTATACGAGTATTTTTTCCAAATCGAAATCTTTCTTGTCTCCTTGCACTTTCCTTGATCTTTTGAGGTCCAATCTTGATCCCTTGGATGATCTTTGACCTGTTTAGCTCAGAAAAGTCATAATCTAAACAAATTACAAATAAATATGAAAATAAAGTATTACACCAAAAGTGTGTAATTTCCTCAACTAGAACTAATAAAAACTAGTTAAAAATACAAACATACAATCAGAAATTACATGAAAATCACCCCACCATGTGGACCATTTCGATATTTTATGGTGTTGATTGATGCTTCAACACGTTGGTCACATGTTAGTCTTTTATCGACTAGAAATTTAGCATTTGCTAAACTCCTTGCTCAAATCATACGATTAAGAGCTCATTTTCCGGACCATTCTATAAAGAGAATCCGACTTGACAATGCAGGAGAATTTACATCCCAATCATTTAACGACTATTGTATGTCGATTGGGATTGATGTGGAGCATCCTGTTGCTCATGTCCATACACAAAATGGTCTTGCTGAATCTTTGATTAAACGATTACAATTAATCGCTAGACCATTATTAATGAAGTGTTATTTACCTTCATCAGCTTGGGGACATGCTAATTTACATGCAGCAAATTTAATTCGGCTTAGACCGACTGCGTATCATGAATATTCTCCAATGCAATTAGTTACTGGACAAGAGCCAAACTTAGCACACATTAAAATATTTGGTTGTGCTGTTTATGTTCCGATTGCTCCACCTTATCGTACAAAAATGGGTCCTCAAAGAAGGTTGGGAATTTATGTTGGATTTGAATCTCCCTCAATAATCAAATATCTTGAACCGATGACTGGTGACTTATTCACAGCACGGTTCGCTGACTGTCATTTCAATGAGACAGTATTCCCAACCTTAGGGGGAGAAACTAATAAATCGGACCCAAGTACGAAAGAAATAACATGGAATGCAACAGGATTGTCACATCTTGACTCAAAATCAAATGTATGTGAGCAAGAGGTGCAAAAGATAATCCATTTACAAAATGTTGCAAATCAGTTGCCTGATGCATTCACAGACACAAAGAAAGTGACAAAGTCACATATTCCTGCCATGAATGCCCCTGCCAGAATCGAAATCCCAACAGAGAATTCTGAAAAATCTTTTGCAAACGATTCTTCTATACGCAAAAAGCGTGGCAGGCCACTTGGATCGAAAGATATAAAACCAAGAAAAACTAAAAGGCAGGAATCGATCTGTGATGCCAAAGATGTTCATCCTTCTGAACAAGAAAATGAACAATTTGAAAATATTAGCATAGAAAATGATATTGACAAAACAAATATCTCAAATGATGATCCAACTTCCTTAAATGAGGAAGATATTCCAGATAATGATAGAAACGTTGATAATTATGAAATTTCAATAAACTACGTTTCTACTGGAATGCAATGGAATCGTAAAGATATTGATATTAATGAGATATTTGTCTATGCCGTTGCCACAAATGTTATGAATGAAAACAATGACAATGAGCCAACATCAATAGAAGAATGTCGGAAACGACACGATTGGCCAAAATGGAATGAAGCAATTCAGGCTGAATTGAAATCACTTGAAAAACGTGATGTTTTTGGACCGATAGTCCCTACGCCAAAAGGCGTAAAACCAGTAGGCTTTAAATGGGTATTTGTGCGTAAACGCAATGAGAAAAATGAAATTGTAAGATATAAAGCCCGACTTGTTGCCCAAGGGTTTTCTCAAATGCCGGGAATTGATTATGAAGAAACCTATTCTCCAGTAGTTGATTCAACTACATTAAGGTTTCTCATTGGCATGTCTGTTTTTGAAAGGCTGCAAATGCGCCTAATGGATGTAGTAACTGCATATTTATACGGTTCACTCGATACAGACATTTATATGAAAGTTCCCGGAGGATTTAAAATGCCTGAAGCTTATAGCTCAAAACCTCGAGAAATGTTTTCCATTAAACTACAAAAGTCATTGTATGGACTAAAACAATCTGGACGAATGTGGTATAATCGTCTCAGTGAATACCTTCTTAAGGAAGGATATAAGAATGATCCAATTAGTCCATGTGTTTTCATCCGGCGATTAAATTCGGGATTCGCCATAATTGCAGTATATGTTGATGACTTAAATATTATTGGAACTCCCGATGAGATTGAAAATACTGCAAAATATCTTATGAAAGAATTTGAAATGAAAGATCTAGGGAGAACCAAATTTTGTCTCGGACTTAAAATTGAGCATTTGAAGAATGGAATTTTCATCCATCAATCCAATTACACCGAGAAAGTTTTGAAGAGATTCTATATGGACAAAGCTCATCCTTTGACTTCACCAATGGTGATTCGATCTCTCAACATACACGATGATCCATTCCGTCCCCGAGAAGATGATGAAGAAATACTCGGTCCCGAAGTACCATATCTGAGTGCTATTGGAGCTTTAATGTATTTAGCTAATAATACTAGACCAGATATTGCATTCTCCGTAAATTTATTAGCTAGGTACAGTTCATGCCCAACAAGACGTCATTGGAACGGGATCAAGCACATATTCCGTTATCTACATGGTACAGTTGATCTTGGCTTATTCTACCACAAAGATGAAAAAGCTGCTTTAATCGGATATGCAGACGCTGGATACTTATCAGATCCTCAAAAGGCGAAATCACAAACCGGGTACGTATTTACTTATGGTAACACCGCAATCTCATGGAGATCGATGAAGCAGACATTGACAGCTACATCGTCAAATCATTCTGAGTTAATTGCACTATATGAAACCGGAAGAGAATGTGTGTGGCTACGATCTATGATTCAACACATCCAAAATGAATGCGGTATGAAGTCTATTACTTGTCATCCTACTGTGATCTACGAAGACAACACTGCGTGCATAGCTCAGATTAAAGAAGGCTACATCAAAGGAGACAGAACAAAACACATATCACCAAAGTTCTTCTCTACTCATGACCTCGAGAAAGAAGGGACGATCAACATTCAACAAATCAGATCCAGTGAAAATCCAGCCGATCTCTTCACCAAATCTTTACCCCCGAAGAAATTCATGGAACTTGTACAGAAAATCGGCATGCGACGTCTTCATAATTTATACTAAATTCAGGGGGAGTATTTGAATGCACTGCACTCTTTTTCCCTTCATCGGGTTTTTATCCCACTGGGTTTTTCCTGATAAGGTTTTTAACGAGACAGTACATCCAAATACAACGACATTATAAGTCGTAATTTTTACCCCTTAATTTTCACAATAAGTTTTTAAAATAATAGACAACTATTCAAGGATGAACATTCAAGGGGGAGTGTTGTAAAATCCTGGAAATGACAAGTGTGAATTATTCATCCTTGTCATCAATCCAGAAATTATGTTTAATCCTTGTAACCTAGTTAGAACAGATGTCTCAAATTGTTATTGCCACCAAATCTGTAGATTCATCCCTTAAGTGACTAATCATCAAGTTCAAACAGTATAAATAGGAGCTTGATGAGGCATTGTAAACTCACTCAGAAATTTAGAAAATATACAGATATTAAGAAGAAGTATTTTAGAGCTTTTTATATATATATCTCTCTCTTAAATTTGATCTTCATCTTCTTCATTTTATCACACAACCAGTATAGTTTATCTCTACATATATACTGACAGCTTTCTTTCATCATTGCATTACTTCTCTCTTTCTTTTGCTTATGGTTCATTACGTATTTGGTATTAGTTACTGTTTTAAATTTTAGGTATCAGCTGGTGTTCTCCTTTACTCTTCTACTCCGTATAAAAGATTTATCAAGATTCATTTTGAAGGTATGTTATCTATATTTTCTATTCATATACTCAGTATGATAGAAGATTTTATTTAAAAATTCAGAATAATATTCTAGTTTGAGTAATAAAAGAAGATGATAGATATTAATGTTAATACCTGCAGGATATGATGATTTCTTGAAGGTTTTGAGCAGATTCGTGCTGATAACGTGTGATAAAATGAAGAAGATGAAGATCAAATTTAAGAGAGATATATATATATATATAAAAATCTTTAAAATACTTCTTCTTAATATCTGTATATTTTCTAAATTTCTGAGTGAGTTTACAATGCCTCATCAAGCTCCTATTTATACTGTTTGAACTTGATGATGAGTCACTTAAAGGATGAATCTACAGATTTGGTGGCAATAACAATTTGAGCCATCTGTTCTAACTAGGTTACAAGGATTAAACATAATTTCTGGATTGATGACGAGAATGAATAATTCACACTTGTCATTTTCACGATTTTACAACAAGATGATGGTTTTGGATCTCTAGAGCTTCCCTTTTTCATGAAATTATGATCTACTCCATATATTCTTTCCGAACAAGAACTTTGCTGCTGCACCCTATCCAACTATCCAAGTTTCACAAGGCAGGGTTGTGCTTTTCTGGTTCATAGACAATCTTTCTTGCCCCAAGATCAAGCTGAATCAAGATAAGGTATTGTCATACGGAGCATCTAATACGTAGTACTATGAGTAAGTTTCTCGGACTTTCTACAGCCTCCGGTACTGCTCCTTGATGTAAACCGTAGTCTGGTGTTCATTTGTTTTCTAGGATTTGTGGAAAAGCACTTCTGTATTGTATAGAAAAAACATGGCAAGTATTCCGATTATCTTGAATGATTGGCCTTCGCATTTCCAAGAAAAATGGAACTTTCATATTGGGAAGTCAAAATGTTTGACGACACATAGCATTTTATCTTACTCAGGACCAAATTTTAGTACTTCAAATTCTGCCCCTTTGATAGGGTTGAGTAATAGATCATGTAAATCTCGGCAAAGATTATTACTTCCTAGCACAGAGGTTAGGTCACTGATAAATGACAAGAGAAATTTAGGGACGCACTTCAGGGAAAGGGATAGTAATGGAATGAGGAAAAGACATTCAATGAGACTGCGCCCACGATTGCGATTATTAACTTGGAGATTGAAAAGGTTCTCAGTCAGATTAGCATTAAACAATGGCGGGACATTCCTGCGCAAAAATATGAGAATGGTGCTATCTATATCTGTCTCCTTCATCTTTGGCTTGTGTTATTTGTTTCTGAAGTTGACTGCTATGCCTTCTCCAAAAGTCGTTCCATATTCGGACTTGGTAATGAACCTTCAGAGCGGTTCAGTAACTAAAGTTCAATTTGAGGAAGGCTCTCGTCGTATTTTGTACAATATCAAAACAACTGAAGATAATATAGCTGATGATGCAGCAAGCAGCGGAAGAATGAGTAGTGATCAAGTTGGAAAGAATGTCTTGTATGAAATGTCAAGAGCCAGTAGGTCTGCACCTGTTTGGCAGTTTTCTACTAGAAAAGTTGATCATGATGAAGGTTACCTTCTCAGTTTAATGAGAGAACAGGGAACAGCATCATATGGTTCTGCCCCTCAATCGGCACTTACATCAATGAGGAGTTTGTTGGTTACTGTTTTGACTTTATGGATTCCTTTGACCCCTCTAATGTGGCTTCTTTACCGTCAAGTATCTGCTGCTAGTACTACCACAGCTAGAAAAAGGAGGTCAGCTAGCCTTTTAGTGGATTTCAGTGATGTCGAGGGTGTGGATACTGCAAAGATGGAACTTATGGAAGTAAGTCTCGGTGTGTTTTTTCCACTTTTTAGTCATCTTTGTGGTAATTGCACTTTTGGCTCTACTTTCAATTTTTACTTTTATTCCTCCTAATTATTGTGATATAGGCCCTTTTGTACATGTCTTTCATGTTTTCTACTTTTTTACTCTGGCTATTGTTTCTGACGACCATAAAATAGTTGAAGGATCAAAATTCAAAAGTGTCTCCCCCACAATCTTAGAGCAATAAAACTTGAAAAACGCAAAGATGAATGTCCAATGGGGGTTGACCCATAAACCCTTATCCTATGAACGTCCGAAGAAGGCCCAAGACAACGGGTTAGCCCCCGTTATCACCGGCAAGGTTCATCCCCAACGGGGCCAAGCCCGGGGGCGTACGTATCCTAGTGTAGGCATGTACCTTGGCCCAGGAGTAGAATGAGACGTACGTCTCGCAGGACTTCGGCAGGAAACAGGAGGCAAGCTCATGGGGACGAACGTCCCCAGAAGGCCCAAGACAACGGGACACCCTTCCCCATCATCCAGGGGACATACGTATCCTCGCGTAGCAGGTACCTTGGCCCAAGAGCAGAACGAGATGCACGTCTCGCAGGACTCGGGGACGAACGTCTCCATCCCTTAGCAGACAGTCAAGATCCTGGCGAGATCCTGCATTTAATACAGAAGACTTGGTGGTTGCGCATTTAATGCAGCAGATTCGGTGGTCGGGATCAAGCTAGGCAAGCCCATGGAGACGAACGTGCCCACCCCTTGGCGTGAAGCCAAGATCCCGGTGGTCACGCATTTAATGCAGATGATTTGGTGTTTGGGGTCAAGTCATCCACAGCTGTGTTCAATGCATCTAACTACCCATTGGTGATACAAATAGTAACATTTTTTTCATCGTAAAGGAGGGAACTTAGCACTCTAGTATTATAGCATTCATAGCAGCTCGTAGCATAGCTGGGGACGAACGGCCTCACGCCTCTAACCCCTTAGAATTATATTGAAACTTCTTATTGGGCCTTTCTTGCTTGTTTGATCTTACTCTCCAAAATTACCCACTCGAAGCTCCTAGGTTGTGTGTTAGGCCTACAGGTTGAAGGGAATAAACCTCAACACTAGCGCCGTCTGTGGGAAACTGATCAAAAAGTTCTTCCAAAACCAAGCTCTTAGTTGAAAATCACTGTTAAACACTCAAAACAAGTAAGATGACAAGGAACAATGAAGGAAACGCCTATGATCTCTCCGAACGGCTGTCATGCAGCCGAAGAACACGCCAGCAGGCGGCAAACGCCCAGTCCAGCAGCTTGTGGAGCCGCGGAGACTTTGGGGTGCTTACTAACATGATTCTCCACGAACTCGGGGGGACCCTAATGCCCTGAGGGATATGGTGGATAGCCGGATACCATCCACCGATTGGCAGACAAGCGGGATGCGGAGCGGGTGTACTCCGCTAACACCGAGCGTACCCCGCTCTCCCTAATCCGCACTATGCAGACGCTCAACGAGCGTAAAAGCGAGACCGCGGAGTCTTGCTCCTCGATCCAGACTAGGATCGTCACGAACGTCCACTCTCCGAATATGGGGGGAGCTAGGGGAACCAGGCGCAGGGTCTTCAGAGGTGCGCAACAGCACACGGTCCGGAACCTCACCCCGGTGATGCCCCGAAATGATCACGTGACCCGGGAGCAGACCCCCGTGATCAACGGCTTGAGGCAGGAGGCCTGGATCATTAACAGGCAGCATGGCGCTGACGCTATGCGTACCCAAAATGCCTTGGCACTGATGACCCCCGTAACTCCAGTCACCGAACCTCGAGATGCGATGCTCGTGGACCTCCAGAGACAGATCAATGAACTGAGCCGATGAGCAGATACTGACCCAACTCAGCCCAGGTTTGCACTATTCTCTCCTTTCTCCGCTAGAATCATGGCGGCAGAGATTCCATGGCGTCTGGCGCCCTGACTTATAATGGGGTTGGGGACCCGAAAGTCCACCTACTTTCCTTCCAGGAGAACTCTCCATGCTGGGAGCCTCCGATGAAGCCATTTGCTGACTCTTCTTCAGCACCCTCAGAGGGCCATCGTAGGAATGGTTCAGGCAGCTCAGGCCCGAATCCATTGACAATTTTGAACAATTGTCTAGACAGTTCATGGCGCAGTTCATCTCCAGCTCCACGCCAAAGAGGCACTTCAGCTGGTTGACGAGCGTCCGCCAAGGGAAGGAGGAAACCCTTTCCACCTTCCTCATACGGTGGAGGGATGAAACCCTGAAGGTCGAGGACCTCACGGAGTGCACAGGTATCACCCTCTTCACCAACGTACTCTTAACCGGGGATCTGTACATGGATTTGAAGAGGAACCCCGAGAGCAGTTATGCCGAGGTGCTAGCTAGGGCACAGAAATATGCGGCGGTTGAGGAAGAAATTGCCCAACGGGATGGGACGTCTGTCCCTTCAAGCCGCAAAATGTCGGACCGTCTTGGGCCAGGGCCATCAGACCGCTCGAAACAAAATAGAAGAAGACGAGCGGTGGCTACATCCATTGGGGAACCCAGGGTCCTTCAGACAACGCCCGGCGGGACTGTATCGGACTTACCCCCATGGCATCCACGATGAGCCAAATCTTTGAGGCCATCAAGGATGAAGGGATGCTCGAAGTGCCGCCCGTTGCCAGAGGCCAAATGGGAAAGAACCTCAACGCCTACTGCGAATATCATCGCAAGGAAGGGCACAACACGGATCACTGTAACAGCCCGAGGATGGCCATTGAAGGAATTATTCGAAGGGGCTACCTCAGAGAGTTCACAAGGAGACCGACCCTTAAGAACAGGAAACAGCAGTACCAGGAACCATTCACATGGAGCAGGGATGATCGGTGGGAGGCAGAGGTCTGAGACGCCGATTATCGCCATGCCGATAAACGCCCGGAGGGATCCTTGGGGCCGGACGGCCACAAGAAGAAATTGGAGATCAAGTGATTTTCGGAGTGCAGGGTATACGCCTGTCTGACGTTCTTCCTCCATAACATGGACGAACATGGTGCTGACATGTGGAACGTAGAGCACGTGAAGAAATCTTATCAGTGACACCATTTTGCTAAATTCATTCCTCCTAAAAAAAGCAAAATAAAATAAAATAAAAACAAATGGGGGAAGAGGGAGACATAACTCCCGAGGTCAGGGAATCCCAAAGAGGATAAACCTGCTCTCCATCAAAGAACACTAACCAGTGCGGTACAGCCTCGAGGCTTAAGCTGCCGGTGCGGTGGAAAGGTGGACAAACGTCGGATAAACCGTTCTCCATCTAAGGACACTAACCAGTGCGGTACGGCCTCAGGGCTTAAGCTGTCGGTGCGATGGAAAGGTGGACGAACGTCGGATAAACTGCTCTCCATCAAAGAACATTAACTAGTGCGGTACAGCCTCAGGGCTTAAGCTTCCGATGCGGTGGGAAGGTGGACGAACGTCCTGATTAGAATAAAACGTTCTCCATCTAAGAACACTAACCAGTGCGGTACTGCCCTAGGGCTTAAGTTGTCGGTGTGGTGGGAAGGTGGACGAACGTCCCCAAAGGATTAAACGTTCTCCATCTAAGAACACTAACCTGTGCGGTACGGCCTAACGGCTTAAGCTGCCGGGTCGGTGGGAAGGTGGACGAATGTCCTCAAGAGGAATAAACGTTCGCCATCTCAAAACATTAACCAGCGCGGTACGGCCTCAGCGCTTAAGCTGCCGGTGCGGTAGGAAGGTGGACGAGCGTCCCAATGAGGATAAACGTGTTCTCCATCAAAGAACACTGACCAGTGCGGTACAGCCTCAGGGCTTAAGTTGCCGGTGCGGTGGGAAAGTAGACGAACGTCCCTAAGAGGATAAAACGTTCTCCATCTAAGAACACTAACCAGTGCGGTACGGCCTCAGGGCTTAAGCTGCCAATGCGGTGGGAAGGTGGACGACGTCCCAATGAGGATAAACGTGTTCTCCATCAAAGAACACTAATCAGCGCGGTACGGCCTCAGGGCTTAAGCTCCCGGTGCGGTGGGAAGGTGGACGAACGTCCCAATGAGGATTAACATGTTCTCCATCAAAGAACACTAACCAGTGCGGTACGGCCTCAGAGCTTAAGCTGCCGGTGCGTGGGAAGGTAGACGAACGTCCCAAAGAGGATAAACTTGTTCTCCATCAAAGAACACTAACCAGTGCGGTACGGCCTTAGGGCTTAAGCTGCCGGTGCGGTGGGGAGGTGGACTAACGAAACAAAGGAAACCCAAAAGCAGGAAACCCGTTTATCGCCAAAGACCGGCGAGCGGCCAAGGTAGAGACCGAGGGTCTGGAGACAAGCATCTCCACTTCAGAGGCTGAGGGTATGGATACAAGCATCATTCACGAAGAGGCCAAGGGCCATAAAATGAGCCTTACGGCCGAGGGCCTTGAGACGCCCAACATATCCACAGACTGAGCCTGCCAAGGCTGAGCGTATCGATATCATGACATCCCAAGGAGAACCAGCCTGACATCCAGAGTACGGACGTCCCCAGAGACAAACACCAGAGAATACCTACCCTCTAGACAGGAAGACGTACGTCCTCAACGGTTGTTTACATAGACGGTCGGGTACGGTGATCCAATGAATAAAGAAAAGCAAGATGTCCAGAGATCCAGAATACAGCAGACAACCGTCGCGTCAGAGGCATCGGTTAAAAGCAGTACACCGGACGGCCGTCCCCTAAGGCCGTATCTTCTGGCGAGACCCCCCTGAACTACTCACATGGATGTCGTTTCCCTCTCTAGAATTCATGGCAGAGCAGAGTATACTCTTTTTCCTCCGTTAGGATTTTTTCCCTCAGAGTTTTTTCCTCAACGGAGTTTTTAATGAGGTACCCCTCTGCCTATGACTTGGGAGGCGCCAAGGGTATTGGCTGGCGACGTACGTCGGATTCAATTTTACTTCTTTATGTCCCGCGCACGCTCGGAACATCAGAAGTGGAGGACTTGTGTTGGGTTAATGGCCCAATGGGGGTTGGCCCATAAACCCTTATCTTACGAACGTCCGGAGAAGGCCAAGGACAATGTTAGCCCCCTTTATCACCAGCGAGGTTCGTCTCCAACGGGGCCAAGGGACGTACGTATCCTAGCGTAGTAGGTACCTTGGCCCAAGAGCAGAACGAGATGCACGTCTCGCGGGACTCGAGGACGAACGTCCCCATCCTTTAGCTGACAGTCAAGATCCTGGCGAGATCCTACATTTAATACAGAAGATTTGGTGGTTGCGCATTTAATGCAGCAGATTCGGTGGTCGCGATCAAGCTAGGCAAGCCAATGGGGACGAACGTGCGCACCCCTTGGCGTGAAACCAAGATCTTGGTGGTCACACATTTAATGTAGAGGATTTGGTGTTTGAAGTCAAGTCATCCACAGCTGGGTTCAATGCATCTATCTATCCATTAGCGGTATAAATAGTACTCCCTCCGTCCCAATTTGTAAGACACATTACGGTTTACGATGTTTGACCGAATAAAGCAAATTGATCCCTGTCAGCACTCAAATTAGTTTTAGAAAATAAAATTTACATATTCAAAAACTACATTAAAACCGCTACAAAACCTGCAAAAAATAATTCAATTTTCATAAACTTTTGATATATAAAGTAAAAGATTAAGAGTTATTTATGTTGACCAAGTGAATAGTAAATGTATCTTACAATTTGGGACCGAGGGAGTAGCATTTCTTTCATTGTAAAGGAGGGAACTTAGCACTCTAGTATTATAGCATTTATAGCAGCTCGTAGCGTAGCTGGGGACGAACGGCATCTCGTCTCTAACCCCTTAGAGTTATATTGAAACTTCTTATTGTGCCTTTCTTGCTTGTTTGATCTTACTCTCCTACATTACCCACTTGAAGCCCTTAGGTTGTGTGTTGGGCCTACGGGTTGAAGGGAATAAACCTCAACAAGTATCTAGTGTTTTTGAGGGTTACCTGCATGGGAGTCGGGTTTGACGGAGCATCGGCCTCCGCCATCGAGTAGATTCTTGCTTGGGTCCTCCATTGATTTGTGGATTATGCCCTGATCCATGTTCTCTCCTCTTGGTCTGGTGCTCACTTGGTACATTCCCGCTCGGTTCTTGTTCACCGTAGCTCCTCCCATGACTCCTGAGGCCTCAACTCACCCAATTTGTGGACATTGAAACTTCACTTGCTCTGAATTCCAACATTGATAGCATCTAGGTGGGTGTTGATGAGGCAAAGAAGAGGAAATGGAGAAACAATGACCCCCATAATCCAAACAAGTGGGGGCCGCCTGGGGGGAAGTGGAGGAGAATTTGATAAGCAGATTGTTGTGTTTGTCTTTTACTAATTCTTTAAAGCTGATAATCATGCATTTTATTGTTTGTAGATAGTTATGTGTTTGCAAGGATCTATAAACTACAGTAAACTGGGGGCGAAGTTGCCTAAGGGTGTGCTACTTGTTGGTCCACCCGGTACAGGAAAAACACTACTAGCACGGGCAGTGGCTGGAGAAGCAGGAGTACCCTTTTATTCTGTTTCTGCGAGTGAATTTGTAGAACTATATGTAGGAAAGGGAGCATCTCGCGTAAGGGAGCTCTTTAAAGTTGCAAGAAAGAACTCACCTTCTATCATATTCATTGATGAACTTGATGCTGTTGGAGGAAAGCGTGGACGAAGTTTTAATGATGAAAGAGACCAAACTCTCAACCAGGTACTCAAATACTTACTTTTATAATCTAAACTGGTTAGTTTCTGATGCCTTTAACCAATTGACTCTATCTATAGCAAGATTTAACATTTACTCCTTGTATCAAATAAGATCTTAATATTTTATATTTAACTGGTGTGATACATATTCTTTAACCGTTTCCAATGTTTCATCAAGTGCATTTTAATGGGGTAAACCATAATGACTTTGTTTATTACGTTACTTATTGGGCGGTAACTAACAAAAATCATTCCACTGCTCTAGCTACTGACAGAGATGGATGGATTTGAATCTGATACAAATGTCATTGTTATTGCTGCTACAAATAGACCAGAAGCTTTAGATGCAGCTCTATGTCGACCTGGACGGTTCTCCAGGAAAGTACTTGTTGGAGAGCCAGATGAAAATGGAAGGAGAAAGATCTTAGCCGTACATTTGAGAGGAGTACCCCTTGAGGAAGATATGGGACTTATCTGTAGCTTAGTTGCATCTCTTACCCAAGGCTTTGTGGGTGCTGACCTTGCTAATATTGTCAATGAAGCGGCCTTACTTGCTGCTCGAAGAGGTTAGCTTTATACTTCATTCTTTAATAGGTGCACTACTTTGAGTTATACATTATTCACGTGCTCTACTTTGACTACGTTTAGTACTAATGCATTAAACATTATATTATAAAAATATTATAATAATTTTATATCAGTAAAACTCTAAATTATGACTTTAATTTTTACTAACAGCCAATTAAATATTTTAATGGTCAAAGCTACATTGTTGTCAAACGTGAATTTCAAACTGTTGCAATTCATCCTTCTGGCCTAATGTTCGTGCAATTTAATATTTTTAGTTCAATTTTAGTACGATTTTACACAATTTCAAAGGATTCAGAATTATTATTGATTTGAATCGATTTTACGATCTTAAATCGTAAAATCACGATTTTTATAACCTTGCCTGTATTAATTACTGTGTTATGGCTGGACTGGATTAGTTAGTCTGATCATCTTTGGTCTGGTTTAGCCTGTTTAGGATTTAAATATGTCCAAGAGAAAATGTCTTCCAAGAGTGCCCATAGAATTCCTTGTGAAATTACTAGATTATTGTATGTCACATTCTCTGCTTTGCATTCAGTGGTCAATGATGGTTAGGGCAGCCGTTGTAGATGTCTCTTCTATTATTCTCCTTTTTGAATGGTATATTTCACGCTGCATTTCAATATTATTTTATTCCTTGACATATATAAGAAATTTGTGAATTCATTTATGGCCATTGATAAACTGCATGTTGTGCCAACTCGCCTGATATCCCATGGCTTACAAATTTATGGTCACAGTTCTTTGTATTTTTTATTTTTGCAGGGTCTGAATGTGTCTCAAGAGAAGATATAATGGACGCTATAGAAAGAGCAAAATGTGGGATTGACCACAAGCAATCGCAGTCCATAGGGAAAGAACTAGGGAAACTGTTCCCTTGGGTACCTTCTCTAATGAAGAGGAAAGATGGACTACAAGTGCCTTCAGGATACCAGACACTTAGTTGAGCTTTTAGTTTTACGTTCTTTTAGCAGTTATGATTAGTACTTCGTAGTCAGTAGTAGTATATAATATGTGTATATCAACATTTACTTTGTTAAGAATTGGGCTTCATCCAGATGTACACAAGGATTTATGAATTACAACACAACTTGGTACATTGCAATCATGCATATTTCTAGTTCACATATTTTCATTTACTAGAGAAAGACTTTTTGGGATCTTGATGTTCACCCCCCTGAAGCACATCTTCAAATTTTGTCGTTGGGACTAAAATATGGTTGAGAGTAGTCTTCTTTTTACCTCATTCCTGAAATCAGAATAAACTGAAATCAGAAATGTAACACAAGTGCAAGAAGATTTTCAAAACAATGATAATAATAATAATAATAATAATACTAATAATAATAATAATAATAATACATAATAATATTAATAATAGCAAATAAATAAATACTCCATAATTGCATTTGCAGTTGTGTACCTCATGAGTTGCCTGTCAAGGGATGAAGCAGATAATACACCTCTGTTTTCTTCTCCCCTTCTCATAAGATAAGGCATTATTTCATCTACAGGACCGAAAGGCAAGTACTTGCTAACTTGAAAACCTGCATTTCTTAAGCTATATGAAAGAGCATCTGACATTCCATATAGCTGACCAAATTGGACCTTCAAGCTGTCCTTTCTCATTCCTAAATCTGTTACCTTGGTTGCAGCTATTTTCCCTGGGAACAAGCATACCAACAATCTATGAATAGATTTACATATAAAAAATGCAGGGTATTCAAGATTTTTAGACTTTTTACCTGATTCAACATTGTGGGTTGCCAAAACAACTGCTCCAGAGCCATTCGCTATCTCATTGAGCATGAAAGACATGCAATCGTTAAAGCAGGCGTGAGTTTGGTGAATGGTGTTATGGATGGGAGACTCGACACCTAGAGAAGAAGCTACCTGTCTTTCACTTGACATGTAAGCCCCTCTCACCAGTTTGAACCCCATAGGAATCCCCATTTTGTCTGCAGCCTTCTTTGTTCCCACCAGCCTCTCTTTTGCGTCTTTCAGATAGGCCTGAACTGTTCCGAAAACTAGAGGGTTGTCCTCTCTATGGTATGAAACAGCTGCTGTGTATGCCATATAATCAATGGCTGGCTGCAACACTGTATCCTCTGCATCAATAAATAATGGAACGTCAACCTCCAAGCACTTCTCACAAATTCTCTGCAGTCTCTGATGGCACAAATCAAGATCATGCTCTTCCTCCCTGCTTAAAGGCTCTGGTTCCTTTGTTGTGTGATAAAGAGGGCTTGATTCACAGAATATCGGAAGTGTTTTTTGCTTCCATGGGAGATGGAAAGAAGGGTTCTTGAACTCCCACCTTAGCAAATCACTTACTCTTTTAATCAATCTCTTGGGGCAAATTGCAGTTATCTTCACAACAATAAAACTCACCTGTATGCATTCAAATCAAATATGTATTAAGACTTGATATTTTGAAAGAAGCTTAACATGAGATGGTCGAAAACCTTAGTTGTGGGATGTTAAAGCTTGGAAATTGATCTTAATGCTTAGCTGGAACGAGCTGATGAAGGCAGTGTAACTTACAGAAGAAGAAGGGAGTGAGTTGACCGAGTCAGCAGTTTGAAGAATCTCTTTCAAACTGATGTCGCAAGAACTGTTATCTGTGGCATGCTCCAACCCATAATCCAACATTGCCTTAAGACCCGACTCGGATAAGTTGGAGACAGTCCGACCCACTTCGTGCAGATCTTTACCGCCGCAGAAATGGTCGTAAAACACGAGTTTGACTATCCCCAGGATGCTCTCCCGTAACAGAGGAACTCCCATGAGTCTGGACTTCATCACCCAGAGGCCCACATCCACCAACGGCTCCACCGCCGTCATGTGGAGCGTCACAGACGATTTCAGCAATTTTGACGTTGAAACAGAGGAGAAAAGCTCCTTCGCGTCGTCGAGGTTGAGGAGGGCCTTGCCGAGCGCGGCAGTTTTTGGGTCGACGATGTCGCCGGGGACGGAACCGGGGTTTCCGGATGGGGGAACGGCGGCGGCGGCGATGGAGGATGGTGCTGAGTTGAGGAGGCAGCGGCGCGAGTGACGGGAGAGGTTCTTGAGGAGGAGGGTGGGCTGGCGCGTGGCCATGTCTGAATGGAAGAATGTGTGTATCTACGTAAAATGCTCTGTTTTTTTGGAATCGGGAAGGAATGTAGAAATTTCTGGTGGTGATGGATTCCTCGCGACTCAACAAACTCCACGTATCTGTAACAAACATGTTGGTCTGTTAGGTTGTCTTAAATAGAGCATTCAACGCCTACCCTTCATTCAACGCCTACCGTTCATTCAACTTGAAGAGTTGAACCGTTGGATAGGAGTGCTGAGCAAGGTTACAGTCAGCACTCAGCAGCTAGCTAGCATAGCCTTGGTTGTGGTCCTGTGGACTTAAAAGAGGTTTGATTCTTTGGGACCAAAAGCAAACCGTACGTTACGATCCCAAAAGAGGAAGTAAGCGTCCTACCAAATCAAACTTAAAATCTATCACCTCCGAATAAGCAATGACAGGTAAACCAGACTTCTCATCACTTGTCTTAAGTTCTAGAATTTGTTTGACAAAAATAAAGATATTGATCCGCAAAACACCACCAGACGAGTGTTCCACACTACAAAAATCATCCTAAAGTTCTGGCTAATGAGGTCGAAACCAACTTAAAAATGAGAACATAAAAACTTGAACAAAAATAAACAAAAGAAAAAACTTGAATTATTCAACTTCATCTTTTTGGGCGAGCCTGTTACCTACAGCTCACCCCAACTCCATTTTTTCTTGCATCAAGTTCCGACTTTACCATCATAGTCCTTCCCACAAGTTTCACCTCCTCTGCCACATAGAACATAGTGCTTAGCAACAATCATCTCCCCTGTTGCTTAGCAATATAAATCTTTTAAACGCTTTACCAACACTGTCTGCAGAGGAGAGAGAAATGTGTAAGAAATGTTGTGAAACATAAATTCTTTACCGAAAAAGGAAAGTGAAAATTTTAATTGGAATGGACGAAAAAGGAAAGTTGAAAGTTATAATAGGAACGCATGGAGTGCAAAATGTCAAGAGAAGGGTCCCGCATTAAGGAGATTAAAACAACTACGAAGTATTTTATTGTCATTGAAATGAACGCTCCTCCCAAAACTTTAACATATTATAGGACTAGGGGTTAGGGGTGTGGGTAAGCGACTAAAGTGTACGAGGTGACCCCACATATTATATTATATACTTGTGTTCATGAATGTTTCTGTGTGTATGTATCTATAGGGTTATTTTGGACATTTTATTGTTAAACATTGTTTTAAATCCTTTGAAGTAAACATGAGCTTACAATACTGCTTATTTTATGCGCCGCTTATTAACTCGAGTCTTAATAAGCACCGTTTAGTAACCTGTGAAGTAAACGTGTCCTAAGAGTATTAAAGGAAAACAAGTTTAAATGCCTTGAATAAGGACATGTCTTTTGAAAATAAATGCCTTGAGAATTAAAAAATTGCTGCATATCACGATTAACAAATTCATCTCCTCCATTACTTTGAAAAATTTTAATTTTATGATTAAAGAGATTCTCAACCAAAAGTTTAAAATTTTTAAAGTGCTCAAAGACTTCATTCTTGCGATGCATAGGATAAATCCATGTAAAACGAGAATAATCATGAATAAATGAAACATAGTATTTAAATCCCAAGTTGGAAGAAATAGGGGACTGCCACACATCTGAATGAATTAATTGTAAAGGAGAAAAACATTTATGATTAACATCAGAAAAGGGCAAACGTTGTGATTTTCCTAAACGACAAGCAACACAGTCATGCATAAAAGTAGAGCTATTACATAGAGAATTATGGTATCACAAGCTACGGTTCAAACCAAAAAAAAATTCCCACACGTTCTCTCGTAGGGATCTCCGCATGTCTCAGCGGCATGACTAGTGCAACCACCATGGATTCTTCTTCTCCGGCGAGCGATGGCCCAACCATCTCCATTCCTTCTTCGATGACTGGCGCACCTCCTCCCTCAATTCTGTAGCCGTCCGTGGTCCTGCCTGGCACCGCCTCTCTTGCGGCTTCAACTTTTGCTTCTCTGTCCAAAACTCGACCGACAGGCACCTACTCCCTCTTTCAGAATTTACCGCCGACCTACTCCTGGCATGCACCATACCCCCCTCCACAGATGCAGCTGGATCCTCCTCCCCTGTTTTCCTCTCCACCGGCGGCCCAGTTTTCAGGTCCAACCTTTGTTGGATCACCGGGCATCAGTTCTTCGGTTCCAGCGTCTCCAGCAATCCGCCCGAGTCCACATCCCACATCTGATTCTCCCATGGCTGATCTGGCCCAATCGCTTTCTCAAGTGGCTACCAACGTCACCAATATTGTGACTACGAAATTGCAGGCTGTTGAGGATTATGTCACCTGGCGCATCCAGTTCGAGTCTTTTCTGGTCTCTCAGAGCCTTCTGGGTATGGTTGATGGCTCAATTCAGATACCTTCTGTTTATTCCATGGATCTATACAACCGTCAAAACCCTAATCCCGAGTATGCTTCATGGTTGCGTATTGATCAAACTATTCGCTCCTGGTTATTTGCCACTTTATCCCGTGATGTACTTATTAATGTTCGTGATTTGAAACATTCTTCTGGGATTTGGGAACGGTTAGAGTCACGGTTCATGTCTGCCAGTTTGGCCAGGTCTATGGAATTAAATTATATGCCGAATACTATTAAGAAAAAGCCTGACAAATACAATGCCTTGAGAATTAAAAAATTGTTGCATATCACAATTAACAAATTCACCTCCTCCGTCACTTTGAAATTTTTTAATTTTATGATTAAAGAGGTTCTCAACAAAAAACAACAAGAGTCTTTTGGTAATATAGTTTATCAATTTTATCGGTTAATTGAAAAATTGGTTAAGTAAACTCTTTTATAAGTGCAACAGTCAACATTTCACACTTGTCGAGACACAACTTTGACCATTAATATATATAATTCTCTATTAGTAAAAAATTTAACAAAAATAGTTTTTGAAAATTTACAATGAGACAAATTTAATAATATATTTTTCAAAAAAATGTATTAATACGTTAATAAATAAAATGTAGTCAAAGTAGAACATGTGAATAGTGTAAAATTTCACATGTTGCACTTATTTAAGAACGGATGTAATATATTTTTTACTCTTTTACATTTTAAAAATCCCAAATTGTTGTAAAATCCTGGAAATGACAAGTGTGAATTATTCATCCTTGTCATCAATCCAGAAATTATGTTTAATCCTTGTAACCTAGTTAGAACAGATGACTCAAATTGTTATTGCCACCAAATCTGTAGATTCATCCCTTAAGTGACTAATCATCAAGTTCAAACAGTATAAATAGGAGCTTGATGAGGCATTGTAAACTCTCAGAAATTTAGAAAATATACAGATATTAAGAAGAAGTATTTTAGAGCTTTATATATATATATATATATATCTCTTAAATTTGATCTTCATCTTCTTCATTTTATCACACGTTATCAGCACGAATCTGCTCAAAACCTTCAAGAAATCATCATATCCTGCAGGTATTAACATTAATATCTATCATCTTCTTTTATTACTCAAACTAGAATATTATTCTGAATTTTTAAATAAAATCTTCTATCATACTGAGTATATGAATAGAAAATATAGATAACATACCTTCAAAATGAATCTTGATAAATCTTTTATACGGAGTAGAAGAGTAAAGGAGAACACCAGCTGATACCTAAAATTTAAAACAGTAACTAATACCAAATACGTAATGAACCGTAAGCAAAAGAAAGAGAGAAGTAATGCAATGATGAAAGAAAACTGTCAGTATATATGTAGAGATAAACTATACTGGTTGGTAATATTTAGGACATTGATATTTAAATACTACGTATGGTTATCTTCTTTCTTTCACATGCACCAAGTCACGGGCATACACTTTTACTGCTTAAATTCATAATTGTCAGAATTCATGATCTGCACAAATTTGTTCTATTCCATCAGAAAGTGCAGATTTTTTTTATCTAAATGGAATCCTGATCACTCGTTCAACGTAACTAATATGATTAAATAATAAATAAAAGAAAGATGCCTTAGCTTGGGAATATTTGAACTATTTCAACCACATATATGGCTGACAACTTTTAGAGGTTTCTTTTATTTGATCAGCCAAGCATTTGTTCTTATCCAACACTATTTTAATTTTAAATTTCAATATCTTAAGTACTGCACATTCAAACCATTCAAATTAGTTGTTTTTTTACCAAACATATATAAATGGCTTCCATACACTTTATACGTACTAAGTATCTATGTGTACGTAAGTACACCAAACCTATTTTAAAATTCTTCTTTTAATAGTTTTCGTAAATCGAGTATATCTTAATAGAAAAGTGACTAGACAAATGGCAATCACGTTACTGTCATTTTGACATCTGTTTTGGATTAGGCTTCGACATAAATTAGGAGTCTAGTGTTACCACATCTTTTCTTTATGTATACAATTTATAACGTAAGTAATTTTTAAAAGAAAAGAAAATCAGCATACATCATACAATTTTCTTTATAAAATTTATTTCAACATACTTTAAATTATTTATTTAATATAGTGGTAAGTATTTGCTGGTGTAAATATACACTTAACTGATTATACCGATATTAATAATTCCTTGTAGTTATATAATGGCCAACATTAGCAAACGAGAATTCGACGTTCTTGATCTATCCGGTCAAAAATACCTGGAATGGAAAGTTGATGCTCTAGCACATTTAAAGGTTAATGGTCTCGAAGACACTATTGAAGCTATTAATCAATCATCTTCCCAGGATAAAGCAAAAGCTATAATTTTTTTCCGTCACCATCTCCATGAAAGTCTCAAATCTGAATATCTTTTGGTTGATGATCCAAAAGAATTATGGGACAATTTACAAGAGAGGTATGACCACCAACAAAAGGTACTTTTACCAAAAGCTCAGTATGACTGGATCAATTTAAGATTCCAGGACTTTAAATCTATCAGTGACTATAATTCTACTATGTTCCAAATAACATCCAAATTAAAGTTATGTGGACAAAAAGTCACTGACGCTGATATGTTGGAGAAAACCTTTTCTACTATGCATATCTCTAATATGCTGCTACAACAGCAATATAGAGAAAAGGGTTTTAAAAAATACTCTGACTTAATATCAGTATTATTGGTAGCTGAGCAAAA